GCAGATCATAGCAGCTGTCAGCTCGCCGGCGGCTACAGGATGATTGACGGGCGCCGACGTCGTTTCCTATGCATCGATCCTTGGAGGCTTCCATGATTGTTCCATGCGGGCTTCTATTCATCCTTCCATTGTCGCTTACGATTGTGTGCGACCTTGCCCCCTGGCCGTTGGCGTTCCGTGTGCCTTGGCCCCCAGACTTGCCTCGCAGGCCGTGCGCCGCCTCTTGGTCACAGTGCCGCTCTGCACTGTCCACGACTTTCAACCTCCAAACATCTTACCGTCCCCTGACCACCATCCATCCATGTTGAACTTCGTTGACCAGGAAGACCAGGTCATTCAACAGCCTCGGTGAGGGCCGCGAAACCGAAAATCCTTTCTATTTTTGTCAGTCATTTTCACCCGTTTTCCCACGGCGTCTGATACGCCGCCCTTCAGCGCAAAACAGCCAGATGCCCAGACTCCGGGATGCCAACGCGTGAGGCTTCAGCTTCCACCACGACGATGAGAAATCCGTCCGCCCTGCTGGCACGGTGCAGCCTCAGCCTCCCGTCAACTCCGTTCGAAGCAACGGCATCTCCTAGTCAATGCCTCTTGCGACGCACTAGCGACCGCTGAGCCAGGCACACACGACGAACGCCCGGCCTGATCGCACCTCGAAACCAATCACAGTACCAACGTCAATGCTGCCGGTCCTCAGCCTCCCGTCCAATACACACAGGGGACAAAGACAATAACCCAAGCCTCTGTCGGATCCATGACTCCTGCCCAGGACGACCTTTATTGTGGCGGGTGCACATGTCAGCCAACTGGATCGACTGGATAGTTCCCGCGGACGAAGCTAGCCAGGATCAAGGGCGAACAGGAGAGAAGAGAGAAAAAAAATGCTGCAATGGAGTGGTCAATAGTCCGCCCCAGTCTCGCGATCGTGGCCACAGCTATTGGCAGGTTTAATAACGTAGTTCATCGACGGCCGTTCCGCTGGGCTTCACACCTCGTTCGAAATCCGTACCCTCATTCTTCTCGATCTGGACATGAAACGCCCGTGCCGAAACCTCGCCTCTGTCAGTCGCCGCCAACACCACGTAAACAAAGTGGCCAGCTTGACTAGCACGGAATAGAGCAGCACTAGCCTCGCCTTGCCTATCCATCCCGCGTGCGATTACACTGGCGAGAACGACGACGACACAGGTTCAGGAGCACCAAAGACGCCGGCAGTTGGAGGGATGTGCATGTTAAATCTCGTTAGACCCACCCACACGAGGAAACCACGTCTGCTAGCTAAACTCAGCTGAGTGGGATGAACTGACTCCGAGATGGCCGTCGACAACGCGACACTGTCTTTTCACACCTCCTCAAGAGCTGTCAACGCTGTGTTGCCAAGCTCGAGGCGCTCGACGAAGACGTTGGTAGGCGTCGTCACAGGAGCTACAGATCCCACGATGGTGGCCAGTTTGCTGTTTCGTCCTTCAGGTTGCAGTCACGCACGCGCACCCTTTCGTGGTGCATAGACGTCCAGCGTGTGTCCGGGCTGTCCTTGTCGTCTTCTTCAGACGGCCAGGACCAGCCATTGTTGACCACCGCCCAAAAAGCATCGAACCGGAACGGAGGCTCTAAATGGGTCTCCCTGCGGCGAGAGCCGGCATTTCCGCTGTTCCACATCACCCCGGCGGCTTGCCAGCCCGCCGGGAAGACGATGCGTCGAAGCAATGCAGCTGTCAAAAACAACAGCAGAGAATATACACGAAGCCGCCGCCGTCTCTGCAAAAGGCGTCAATCGGACACGCAACGCGAGCAACGCGGCCAGCAAACGCGACCGAGACGTGACCAGGAAATGGACGAGCGGCAACGATTGACGGCTGTGGCCACGTCCAAGTCATTGCGCTCGGGAGCCGCAACGTCATTCCTTACCACGGACTCGCAACTGAGTTTCTTCGCCGCTTCTGGAAGACGTCGATGCCACCACCATGGCCTTTGGCCCGACCGAACTGTAGGCCATCGACCTCCACCTTGGGCAGCATTGGGCTTCCCTCTCTTGATCATCCCAACATTCGTCTCTTGTGCAAAAAGAGGCGAATCTCTCGCTCAAGTCTCTCTGCATCTTTTGCCTCCTGAAACCACCATTGAAAATTCAATCCGGCCGAGTACCAAGAAACTGACTCGAGAAACCTCAAACTTCCGCAGGCTGAGCGGCCGGCTCCACACCCTCTCGGGGCCGATGGCACCGTCTTGGGAGGACGCGCTGCAGGTTGCCATTCTCTGCTCGCAGGAAGGCGAATGGAATGCGAGAACACAAGACGGCGCTGCAGTGCCCCTCTTCCCGGTCAATTCAAGGGCGAAGCTCAGAGACTGCAGGCTCTGACGTGGTCGAAGACTCGGATCTTTGCGGTCTTGGATGGATGGACCTTAAGCTTTTCCCGGCCCCGTAGGCCTGTGACTGGTCTTAAGGGCACCCAGCAGGCAGATCCATGACGACGGCTCAGCAAGGACAGCAGCCTGATCTGGACTGACTCCGCGCGGTTCGACTGCGCAGGGAACAGAAACCTTGCAGCAGCAATGCTAACCCCGGCATGTCTAGGCCACGCCCGTCCGATTGGATTCCTCGACATCCGACAATATGGTTCGCCCGTAATTACCGAGTAATCTGGACGGTCAGACGATCTAATCTGGGGAAGCGAATAACACCCGAAACCTGCAAAGACGCTCACGATGATGAAGCTTTGAGCTCACAAAACTCGGTTATCCTTTACCGCAACCTGAAAAGTGGACTGGCGAGGTTGCTCGAGACATCGCTGTACGTATGTTGGGGCGCGTGCGTTGGGAATGATCGCCAGCGAGTTCCATGCTGACCGTGCTACATTCATGCTTGAAGTCGGGTTCCAGGTGCTGGCCTGACGTTGCCGAGCGCCCGTGGACGACTGTCAATTCTCCGGTCCCGCCGCGACGGACCAACGCGGTTCGGGGAGCATCCCTACATTGCACCGAAGCTGAAGATGATCGTGGCCGTAGTCATGCTCTGTCGACACCGAGCTGTGTGCGCACTCAAGACATGCCAGCTGCTATCGGACCGCAGGCTCTCAGTCATGACCTACAGATGTCGCGAGTCATCTGGCGTCGCTCGACGTGGGGGCACGGCGAGACACTTTGCTTTTGCACACATTCGCAGCATCACCAATGGCGGACGACGGATGACCCTCCGGCCCACATACGACTACTGAGCTCCCGTAATTGGGGCTGCATTTATCAGTTCTTGGCCGGATGGAGTGTGCTTCTGCATATTACAGTAATAGAGGTCAGCCGAGGCCGGAGAGCTGAAGCCGGAGACGGAGCCGACGAAGGAATCGTGATTCCACATCAGCACGATTCCACACTAGGGGTTGATTCGCAACGTGTCAGGGTTGCATTCCGGAATGGAGGTGGTTGATCCACGGCCGCAAAGGCCGTCAAGAGGCCCCGTGCTGAGCAGCTCTCACTTTTCCACGCGGTCCGCTCCGTGATGCCGTCCGGGGCCGGCGTGGTGACCAGGACACGGACCAGTCTCGCCGGGCAGCCAGCACGACATCCGAGCTTTGGAGAACGGAGAGCAGCGAAATCCGGGGGGAGGGACGCAGGCTCGTGCGATGCACCACCACCGAGAGACAGAAGCCATGCAGGCTCAGCTGGTGGTCTTGGATCACGAACGGGGTCCTCGGCTTGTACGAATCGAGCAATGCGGCACTGAGACAACCGCGCCGCCACGTCCGACAAAAGTGCCGTGAATGAGGCTCCTGGTAGACGACATCCCGCGATATAATCCATTGCCTGCCGCGGCTGGCGTGGTGACTTCTCTCGAATTGTCTCTTGCGACATCGTGCGTGAGGCTTGTTGTCTCATCCATGACCGGTGAGCGACGACGAACGGCGGACGAGATCGGCTGACCGGCTTGTACTAGTTGGGTGTCCTGGTCGCGCGTGCGATTCGACGGCCCGAGGCTCACCGGGCGCGGGGTCTGGCCGAGTGAGCTGTGCCCCTTACCGAAGACCTCGTCAGATAGCGATACTCATGTACGGCGGCCATGGTACCCTACGCATCAGCATGAACGAATAGGCGCTGGCGGAGGGAGTGCCGCCAAGCGCAATTCACCGGGTTTATTTTCGACAGTGATCTCATATGAACCGGGGTCGTCTCGACCCATCGGCGAGCGAGACCGGGCCCGCGAGCCCGCAGATGAACCAGATATGCTACCGCTAATCCCGCCAACGAGCGGGACCTGACTTCTGTTTTAGGAGAATGCCAGCCAACACAGACGCGGGCCGGGACGTAATCCAACGAAACAACTCTGGTGTTGCCGGGGGGTTCTCACGTAGTGAACCATTCAAATCGCGTTTCCGGTCCCTGAGCGGGGTACGTCAGGACCCAGCATCAACCGGGCGTCACTTGAGGATTCCCCGGGGCGGAGATCTAACCCACGTTGTCGTCGGGATAGCCAGGGGTTTTGACAACGCGAGTGGATGGCGACACCACGGCTACATATGCACTTCCGCGGCCAAGGGGCGGGTGCTATGACCTATCTATTCTTGAGACCGGGAAGAGATAGTCGCTGCCACCTGCTTTTGTGGTAAACCGGAAAGGGTCTCTCCTGTGTTCGCCCTGCATCACCGCTGAGTACCAACCAAAGGAGGGTGGACTGTGGTCTGGCAAGTGGGATTTGTCGATATCAGACAAAGCCTGGGATGAGCACGGGTCTTGGGGAGTGTTGCAGTGAGTCGCCAAGGGAGGAAGCGACAAAAGGCCGGATGGCATTGACTGGTGAATTAAGAATCAATGAACAATGACTGAATGGGGGCCGGCTGGTCGCATGAGTATATATGGGGAGAGGAGGACAGCAGGAAAGGCTCTTCCACTCCTGCAACTATCCGAAACCCACAACCATTCCCAATCCTACTTTGCTATTCTCAAACCATCTATTCCCCATACCAACCACCACCAATCAACCCAGCCTCCACCTACCCACAGCCAGGACAATGGCGGCACGTGAGATGTCCATGGGCGTGGTCCCTATGAATGACGAGGTGGGAGACATCGGCGGCAGCGGGCTGCCCTCCACCATCCTCGACAACATCCGCTCCGCCTTCGCCAAGGTCGCTGCCGGCAAGGACAACAACGAGGAAAAGTATGCCGTCGTCATGCCTGACGAGCTGCTGTATGACGACGATGGCCTCGACATCTGGGCCGAGATCATCTTCACAAAGGGGAACTACCAGACACAGGACGAGATCAATCTCTTCGAGAGATACAGTCCCGAGATCGCGGAATACATGCCGAATGGCACCACCATGTTTGACATTGGTGCTGGGTAAGTGCTCCCCAGTCTTGACTCTAGAACTTCTCCTTCCTAGCTATGAGCCTTTGTATCATTCACTGAATCGGACTGACCTGAGAACACCACACAGCGACATGAAAAAGGTCAACATCCTCCTGACCCACCTCAACAAGATAGGACGCAAGGCGACCTACCTGGGCCTCGACATCTCCCAAGACTCTCTGCTCTACAACATCCACAAGTACGCGCCCGGCCACGAGGACAGCACCGTGAGCATGGCGGGGCTCTGGGGCAACTTCGACCTCGGCCGCGCGTACTGCTCGGCCCTGCCCGACACCGAGGAGCCGCGCATCTTCCTGTCGCTGGGCTCCGTCTTCTTCAACAACCGGTGGGACAACGCCGTTGACTTCCTCAAGGAGTGGGCCGCCGTCATGCGCCCCCAGGACCTGATCCTCGCCGGCATGGACAGCCACGAGATCACCGACGACAAGATCTGGGCCGCCTACCACGCGCGGGAGGACCTCTTCAGGGCCTTCTTCGAGAACGGCCTCAAGCACGCCAACAAGCTCCTCAAGGAGGACGTCTTCAGGCCCGAGGACTGGTCCGTCCCCGGCGAGATCGACGAGGAGGATTCGCGCCACGTCTTCTACCTCACGGCGGAGCGCGACGTCGTCGTCGGCGCCGCCGCTACCGGGACCGGCAAGGAGCTGGCCATCAAGAAGGGCACCAAGCTGGAGTGGTTCGACGCCCACAAGCGGACGCAGAAGATGGTCGAGGACATGTGTGCCGAGGCCGGCCTCGAGGTCATCAAGTCCTGGGCGATCGCGCCCTCCGAGATGCGGCAGTACCTCATCCGCCGCGTCCCCGAGAAGGGAGCCGAGACCGTGTACAGCGACAGTGATAGTGGCATTGTCGTCGTCCATGAAGTCTAGACGGCATGGGCGAGCGTGATTCAGGTATACACCACCGGGCAGGACCAACGGGTCGGTGGTGGCTTTCCTTCTTTTTCAATCATCTTAGATAGGCGGGCAACAAAGGGGCACGAGCCTTACGCACCTCCGAAATACCCCGTTGACGGCGGGAGCTGCTGAGACAGACAGCAAACAACAGCGACAGTATAGCAAATATATAGATATATATGCATCGAGTCTAGATACGTGCCTGCCTGCCTTACATGAGTGACTCTACATCATGATACCCCCTCAGACCAAGCACAACGTCGTCAGAGTCTGGGCTACGTGATCTACGACATCCTCCCACCACGCATACCGGTCTCGGATGCGGTCGGGGATGGGCTGGGGCGCGTCTTTGATGTTGGTGGACATCCACTGGCGGATCTCGACCAGCGCGTCATACGCGGGCGGGACGCTCTACGATGGGTGGGATCAGTCTCGCGGGGGTCAATCTGCGGGCGGCAGGCACTTTGAACTTACCGAGCGGCACTTGGTCTCGATGACGGCCTCGAACCATTCCATCGCGCACTCGCAATGGTCCTTTTCTACGGCTACGATGCCCAGCAGGAACACGGGGAAGAAGGGCGCTTGGGCGGTGAACATGCATCCCGACGTGGGCATGACGCGGATGGTCGCCGCGAGCTTGGAGGCCTGCAGGAGGACCTCGGGATGGTCGCGGGGAAGTCGCAGGAGGCGACACAGGAGGTAGATGACGGCGGCGAGACGCCACGCCTCGGCGGTCGAGGCCGTCATGCCCTCCTTGTTCTTGATCGCTCCGTGGGCGTCCAGGAAGCGGGAGCGCAGCTGGTCGCGGATGGTGTCGACGTTGATGGATACCTTTGTGACGTCGTTGAACTCGCCGTAACGCTTGTGCTCGTACTCATACCACTGACGGACGTTCTTTAGCTCGTCCAGCATCCTCAAGGCCATCGGGACTGCCCAGAACTCGGTGTCGACGGGGTCTTCGCTGACGAGCGAGGTGATGTGCGTGATTTGCGAGAAGTGGTAGAGAAGCAGCGGAGACATGCCGCAGCCGCCGTGGATCCTGGTGATGTTCTGCTCTGGCCCTTGGAGCAGCCAGACGAACTGCTTATCCTGTGTGTTTTTGCGGTCGAGGGGCACCATGGGGAGGGCGAGGATGGCGGTTCTGCTGGCAATGATGGCGTTACCCATGCGGGCCTCAGAGGGTTGGATATTCTTGGCGTCCTGGTAGCGGTAACCCGGATCCGTCATGTCCAGAATCTGGCAGGCGAGGTGCGCGCCGTCCAACCACCGAGGGCGTTCATCTTTCCCTCTCCAGTGCTCCGAGCTGACGACGTCGTTCATGTTGAGGACCGCAATGGCAGCAACCAGGGCGTCCGCTTCCGCGTCGCTGGGAGTCTGCTGGCGGGCATTGGTCAGTGACAAGCTCAGGTTGATGACGGCCTTCCTGTAGTGGAGCTCGGCCGCCTGTCTTATCCTCTCCGTGTGGTGGTAATCGTAGACGTAGGTGCCGGCGAGGGCGAGGACGGCATGCTTCACGGCACCGTCTTGATGAACCATGGGAGCAATGTCCCGCAGCCACGTGTTGGTCTTTCTGAGGACGGTCCTACCGGTGCACCAGGCGGAGACGTCTGGTAACTTAGCAACGCGTACGCGTCAAACACGGGGGAACACTTACAGAAGTCAAAAAGTCCCCGGTCGACATCATCGAGCCCGTCATACCAGGGCTGCGGGATACTTGAAAATTGTAGCCATTTCAACATGGACTCTCGTTCTCGGCTCGTGGCTGGATCGCCGCCGTTGGACTCCGTGAGCCGCAGGTTGGCCGCCCTCCACCGGCTGGGAATCTTGACATATCCATTGATCGCGCCCGAGACGACGGGATAGTTCTTGCCCTCGAGACGCCGAAATTGGCCCTTGTGCTCGAGCTCAAAGTGGTCCTCGAACGGGTTAGCAAAGACCTGCCCACCCCGGTAGCTCTGAGGGATCTCCGGCGTGAAAACAGAAGACGCCGAGTCAGGGATGTCACTAATTGCTGTTCATGGTCAGCGCTTCTGACATGACATTGTTTCTTTATTATTCATCTCTTGCCCCTTTCCCCCATTCTTCGTGCTGTGCCTCTCAACAAAGCGGGAAGCACCACAGGGATCGGACGAGCCAAGGAACTTACACGACACGGACGGCGCGGAAACTCGGCTCTTGTTGGATGAACGGGACGACAGGCGACGACGTCGAACAGGTGGACCCGAAGGTTCGACCGGGGTCACTTGTACGTTCGGTGATTTCGGCGAGTTTAGATGGCTGGCTTGAAGGCCGAAATCGACGCTAGACGTAGGCAAAATCATGAGATCCAGAGGTGAGGCCAAGCTGGGGTATGGAGGAGGATCCGCCTCCAGGACCCTCTTGAGAGGCCTTCTGGGCAGAATGGCGACAGCGGCCATGTCCTAATAGACTTGGAGACGAATAAAGCCAGCGTCGGGACGGGGACGTGTCCCCAGCACGGGACGCTGGATGTCCGGACGGACGAGTTGTCTCCAGACTCAGAAGAGAAATTGACGCCTGAGATGGGTGCTGGAATTGGTGTGTGCTTGGAATCTTGGTGGAGAGCTCTCACACTCAGTGTGTGGGGAGTGCGCAGGGAGAGCCAGGGCCGATGGGGACTGCTGGAGGAGACACTCGAGGCGGAACCCGCACGGAGCGGCTAGCGTAGCGTAGCGCGGTGCGGCCCAGTGAGGAAAGATGAGATGGAGCCGATGAGAGAACAGCAGGGCCGGCAAGTAAGGTACCCTGTCGTTTCCCGGTTCTTTTTTTTGCACCGGCGCTAACAAGAGAAGCAAGGCCAGCAAACACCAGCACCCCAGTTGATACTTTGCTGTTCGTGCTGCAATGTCTGGTTCTGGAATTGAGGAACGCGCCGAGGGTCGGCGAACGAGCGGGCAATTCGCGTAGGGTACGGATAGCAGAGGGAGTCAGGGAGCGGCCGGCGCGTGTAATGACAGCTCCCCGAAGGTGACGGTGGCAGCGGTTGTGGATAATTAGGTTACGGGCTGTGATGGCACCGGTCAGCCCGGGACCGAAGAGTCGGGGGCCTAATTTAGCGGTGGTCCACTCTGGCCGATGCCTCGACGCAGAGTTCCTTGTAAGTGGAGGGGACGACGAGTGCGAGGAGACGAGTAAGACGAAGGAAGCCGTCCGTGGAGAGGTCAGGCAGACGTTGGGTATCCGTCTGTAAGGCAAGGCACGGACGGAGGAATTCGTCACTTGCTGCTGTTGAATCTGATTCAGACTGGAGCTGGCAGATAAGGTAGCTGCTTAGCTTAGGTCGGGAGAAGAGTGACACTCTGTGTCTTGCCAGGGAGGTTGGCGCAGACGGTAGACGATAGATGGCGAATGTCTTGCTTCTGCGTCTGCGTCTGCTTCTGCGTCTGTAGCGTAAATGTGAGGCGTAAGAAGTGACCAGGCAGAGAGCAGGAGGCAAGACAAGGGCAACTGCAACTTGTCAAATGACCTGATGTCTGCCGCGCATGTCTTGCTTGATCTGGCTGGCGGCCGCGAAATAGAGTTCAGTCCAATGGGACGTTCCCGCTCATCGGACGGTACTGGTGGGTGGAGGTAGGGTGCGTGGTGGTGATGGTCGTTGTCTTGCCCGCACGGGAGAATAGTGGCAAGTGAGAGCAGAGCGCACGGATGGTGTGAAGAGGAAGCAGGCCAAAGTTCCTGTCTCCCTTAGATTGAACGGCGATAGGCCGCCCTGTCTGTCTGGCCGTGCCTTAGCGTAACTGCAACTGTGACGCGATTTTTTAGCAACCAGACCGGTGAGGAGGCAGGAACACTACCGTGACGCTAGGAATGTGAATCAGAGAGGGGATGGCGGGGTCCGGCCAGAATCTTACCTCAGGCTCGCTTGTTGAGAAAAGAGAGACCGCTCATGCAAGGAGCTATGTTCAGTCACGTACTGTCTCGGGTTGTATCAAGACGACGACGACGACAGCCCGCTGATGGGGCAGTTGATGACGGAGTACTTGGTACGGGGTATAGAGCAGATGCGGATGCGTATGCAGGGCAGGTTGTGCTGTGCTGTGCTCTGTCGACCTCGTCGGCCTGGCTTGCCTCGACGTTGGCCTCTGCGTATTCGTACGACTCTTCGAGAAGGATGCTTGGAAGCAGACGCAAGGAGTGAGGTTGCCAGGCCCGGAGGAACACCGTCGACGATGATGAGCACCGTAAAGACCGATCCGTACCGCTGCCGCTCTGGTGGGGGTGAGAGGAAACACGCGGCGGATCCTTTCTCCTCCACTCGACCCTGGAAGGACCCGACGTGGAGTGAGGGAACGAGACAGCAGGGACGGGCGCAAGGACGGTACCGTGGGACCGCACGGAGGAGACTGCAACTTCGGGTGAAAGTGGTCCTCGAGACGACGTCGCCCTGCCACTGCTACTGCCACTACCATGCGATGAGATACGCGTTGCCTGCCAGAGAAGACGACGGGAGTACCTACGGAGATGCGACGGTGAGTTGGGACTTTGGTTGGAGTGAGGAGCCGGTGTTGGTGGTGGTGGTGCCGGCTTGATGCTGGCTGCGGATTCCACGCCAGATGCCAGAGTGAACTCAAAAGTTTGGAGACGGGGTGTGAGCTTAATTCGACATCTCCCGCCCTGTCGGTTATTCGGCGTGGGTTGGAGGAGAGCAAATGACGAGACAAGCGCAGTAGAAACGAAACACCTAGAGTTATCCAGGGTGTGATCACGGGGGCGATGAGGGCAGACGACAGAGGGCAGAAAAAAGAAGGAGGGAACAGGACGAGTCGACGAGTAGGGCAGGACGAGGAATGACGGACAAGACACTGGTTGAGAAGTCGTGCATATCTAAGCCGCCTTGCTTCGCTTCGCAGTACTGGAGAGGTGTGTGGTGTTGATGATTTTCATTTTCCCTCCCTTCCCCGCCACCTAGCGCCTGCCGTTGCCATTGAGCAGCTTTGCCATTCCCGATTCGGAGTCGCCTGCAGATTTCCCAAACGCGTTGCAATCGAAGAGTAAGCCGATCACCGCTGCACCGCTGCACCTGCCTCCAAAAAGAGGAAAAGTACTTTGCATTCCATCGATTCGCAGTGCCTACGGATAGAGCGTCCGTTGGTCGTGTCTCCACTTGTTGTTGCTTTTTCCTTTTCCACTGCCTGCAGCAAGAAGAAGGAACGCTCCTGATCCTTGCTCTTCCATGCTCCTGCCCTGCTACCCATGCTCTTGCCCCATGCTCCTAGTGTACCTCTTTCCCATGCTATTTCCTTCCACCGGGCATCCAATTTCTGTCTCCTTTCCTCGCTCACGGCACAGGCATTCCAAGGCATCGACTCCTACACTACCTACCTAGGTAGGTACGGATAGCTCTCTTTTATGTCGCAGTCGGATGCTCCCCGGCCACCGGCATCCGGGGACCACGGAAGCGGGAGAAGGACGGCAGCGACAAGAGCAAACAGAGTGGACGGGAAGGCCGCCAACTGCCTGCCGCCCCCGGGATCCCGTACCCACGAGAGAAGCTACGGCTGCTACTCTGCCATGTACGGATAATGCATCTTCACCAACTCGGTGAGCCGTTGGTTCTTCTTGACCTTCGCTTGGCCTTGTCTCGTGTCCAACTTCCAATAAGATTTCTGGATGCATCACAGCCTCAGCTTTCTTCATCCTCAATCTCGCCTCTCCTCTCTCTCTCTCTCTCCATCTCTCCATGTGCCGCCCGGGTAGGTACCCTGTCCGACAACACCAACACCACCACCACTACCAACAGTAATATTACCCCCTTACTTACAACGCGATAGGTATCCCCGTCGCCCTGATCGTCGATACCAACGCCTTCCGACAACGACCCGACAACGACCCGACACCAACACCAACTTCACCTCCAACGACCCCCCGCCCGCCACAATGTCTTACCCTGCCTAGCTCGCCTGGCCCATGCTCCCAAGGCTCCTCTTCCCACTCCATGCATCTGCACCATGCTTCATTCCGCAACGCCCTCGATAGCGCCCAGATAACGCTATCCCGCAGACGCCGACACCGCCTGTCTCTTGGTTGTAGGTTTCCCGGCGGGCGGGCGGACGGACAGAAGACGTTCACGTTCCTCACTGTATCGAATTCGCTCGACGGTCGACACGACTCGGGCTGCAATTCCGGAAATCACGGTCATGTTCGCTCACCAACAACGGCAAGGGTCGAATGTGACGAGCTCCATCTTCCAAGGACAGGGCACCTCCGCCCCACGAGAAACCCGCCGCCGTGCCTGCCCGCTCCCCCATCTTCTGTCAAATGGCCCACGTTCTGGGCCCATTCGCCCTTCCCGCCAGCCGTATGTTTGCTTCTTCCTGTCACACCTCCGTTCCCTCTTTTGTCAATCTCTGCTTACGCCCGCCCAGGTAGCATCCATCCGGTGAACGTCAGGTACCCACGACCAGACTGGGAGCGAGCGCGCCTCTCTGCCTGACATGACAGTTGATCATACACACTGCTAGCCGTTGCTGCTTACGAATACGGCTACCGGACATGCGAAGCCAGCGGGCATCTGGTCATTGGCCCGAAGGCTCCTCAGACACGCAGCAACACACACAATAGGCATTCGTACCAGCTCGCTCTTGACTGGCTCGTCATGCCTGCTCCCCTCATCAGAGCCTACCCAAACCGGTTACTACGGGCGTATCAGAGGCAAGGGACTTTGGTTCGCAACTCGTCGTAGAGGCCACACACATCTGACACTCCCCGAGTCGTTCCCTCGCAGATAGAGCTCCGCCCTCGCGCACCTCCAGCTCTTCCACGCGCTGCCGTTGCCGTTGCCGTTGCTTTCGCCCCCATTCCCGTCCGAGGCCAAGTGGAATTCTGGTTCTGGTCTTGCACGCTACCTGGCTTCCCACCCCGCGCGCGCCTTGGGTCCCGTCCCGTCGCCGTCGGTCTCTCACTACCTCTTTCCTCTTCCCTTGTTACCTCGCACAACCCCTCTCCACCCGTAATCCATCACCTATTACTCCCCCCTGGCCCCGAATCCTACAGACTCTTTAACTGAATTGTGACTTGTTTGAGCCCTCTTCCAACCCGGCGTCGAGTCCATCATATCCAGCTATCCTCGTCGTCAGTTCTGTGCTCTTGGTGGACCGCCCAAACTAGAAATTGCATCACGTCGTTTGCTTTCCCATCCTTCACTCGACCCACTTGGCGCGTCGACATTGTCTTTTCAGCCGCCGTCCCAACGGTCCCGTCCGTCCCACACCACAGTCTAGACTTGTTCCTCGCACTTCGACTGCTGGCGAAGCTTTGATAAGCTGAGCGGCTTCCACTTCAACTCACCTGGCGGGAACTCGCATGTTGTCGTGTTTCCCCCGCCAGGACTTTCATCATGGCCTTCAGCATCACCTCGCTGCTCCAGACCGAGTCACTCGACCAGACCGCCCAGAGTCGCCAGCTCTTCGAGGAGACCTACCGCCAATATGCCAGGTCCTTTCCCGCCCAAGCTAAAGATGAACCCAAAATGTCTTTCCTGAGACGGGTTGCACTGCACGCCGTCAATTTTGCCGCAGACTTTGTCTTGGAGATCACGGACGAGAAGAACTTGCAGTCGACCGGGTACACCATCACGGATCAGTTTTACGGAGAGAGACGCAATGGCATGGGGATTCTCGAAAACGCAACCAAGGACCGCAGGCAGCTCAGGTGCGTAGGCCGTCTTTCGGAAATCGGCACGCAATCGCTAACAGCACCAGGGAAATGAGAGAAACAATGCAAGATGCCCAGAGGATCACGTTGTCCCTCGCGGCGCCGCCGCCTCTACCTCCCGTGGAAAGGGGCATCCCAGAATCCGCTCGCCAGATCATTCCATCAGCATCCAGCTCCAGGTCGTCAGTCTCCGGAATGGGGAATGGATGTTTCTCCGCTACGGCTTCACAACCTTCCACGGCCGCATCTCACGCATTCAGCACCGGCAGACGATCCCTGAGCCCGAACCCTCCGCCGTATCATCACGATGGCCTGTCCGGCAACGGCAACCACAGCAACGACGAATCCCAAGACGACGACAGCAACGACGATGACGACGACTACATGATGACCTCGCCCAACGACGAGTCCAAAGACACGCGCGAGTGGTCCTACGAAGCCCTGAAGCACAGGGGGAAAGGCCGGTACATATGCCCGGAATGGCGGACTTGCACGAAAGGGGGCAACAACGGGCACGGCAGCCCCAAAATTTTCAAGCGCAACTGCATGTTCAGGTATGACAGAAATCCTCTCATGTCAGATATCATACTTACAGAAAACAGGCAACACCTGCAAAAGCATGACAAGCCGCACAAGTGTCTCTTGGGAGGGTGTCCGAACAAGGAGGGGTTCGCCAGAAAAGACCAGCTTCTTCGACACCAGCTGAACGTCAAGCACGAAGACAACGAGAACAAGGCGCGGGCTCCTTACCACATGACACGAATGTAGCACCGCGTACTCTTACTGTATTTGATTTACAGCCGCAGGGCTGCTGGGGCAGCACGTACGTTTTTGCTCTGATATTATGACGGCGCACTTGGGCTTGTGGAATATGGGGCAAACGATTCACTACGCAATTTGGCGTACTGATTGCTGCAATGTATCATTATCATGTCGGATGGATCACGAACGGTCTTTTGAGTTGAGGCGTGCATGGAAACCGCCTCGATTAGGATGATGGGATAGCGACGGAGTCTGGGCATGCCTTGTTGGTTGGTTGGAAGGACGGACGGACAACCCATGGCAGTTATCATGCGTGCCAAAAGTATAGCAGGCCAGGGAACTGGTACCAACACGAAGTTGTTTTGGAATACCACTGATTTGATATCGTCTTGTCAGCACGAGGAGGTGAACCAACAACGAGCGGAGGAAACGGTCCACACCCTGTTCTCTCATGCTCAATTCTGCGTTGCCAGTGGTTGGTGCCAGTGAGACATGGGCAAACCCATGCGGGCGATGTCCACGGATGGATTTTGTCTTGTCGTTGGCGTAATAGCTGGCACGTCCAAACGAACTGACTCGTTCGAAAGAGTCAAGCTGGTTCCTGCCATGACATATCACGTCGGACGATGATTTGGCGTACGAGGCTGTCGAGGCATGTTATGCAAGGAGACCAATCGTCTCCGGCGTGGCCGACGGCAGAACGGCTGAGTGCGTTTCTGATAATTCTCTCAAAAGTCGCATAGGCGTGTGAATAATTCAGGGAAAATTCAACTAAACCTGTTTTGCCTTGCCTGGACCACTGTGGTGATCCTCTCTAGCCATTTCGGTGACTTCGTGCTTTGGAGCCCAGTCTCTCTATCACCCGGGTTGTTGGCTGCGTTGGAGGACCCCGATTTCCCGATGGCCTTCCCATCAGACCTACAATTGCTACGGGTCCCTGGACCTTGCAGACAGGGCTTGCCTGCCGTGATGCCTGTCATATCATCGGTGCAGTCTTACACAACATCAAGTTTCTGTGTGGTGTGAGTTGTGTTACCCAGTCCCTCGTGGCAGATCAGGTCTGGGCAAGGACGGATCTGTCTTTGGCGGCGTCGTCTACTGCACATTTCCTCACTGGTCGTCGAACGATTGGGGCAATTACCGCGTCCTTCCCGTCCGTCTCTCGAATTCGAGCGGTTTTTTTTACGATCAGATCACCCTCCAGGAAGACGGCACGGGCGAGAGAAGAAGAAGGTGGGCGTACGACGTCTGGCGCTAGGGCTAACGCAGCGAGAGGGGTTGGAGGGTTGGGGGAAGGGGAAGGGGAAGGGTTGGGGCTTGGCGGCGACTTTGGCATTTGGTTTCTCGTCTGTTGGTTATGGGAAACCGCCAGTTTCCCATTTTCTTCGCGGAGTCGGGGTCGCCCTCCGTCGGATGGGGAGGCAGAGACCTGCGCTTGTGTCCACCGCCGCCGCCGCCGTCCGTCGATGCAGAATATCGAAGACGTCGTTCTGTGCCGTATCGTTCGACGCGCATATTCATTGATTTCATGGCGCATGATGGAACGGAGCCCAGGCCAGAGTTATTTTTCGAGGGTTTTTTTCTGAAAAGAAGAAACAATGTACAAGGCGGGCATGAGGCCCCGAAAAGGAGCAAACAGCCGGGGGGAGACAGAATGTCAGAGCAGAGGAAACTCCAGTCCGGGTTTTCTATCCTCACACCTCGTAAGGGGAGCTGAGGGCGTGTCTGGAGAAGGGCCATAGAGGTGAAGTTGCATTTTCCTCTCTCGTTGGGGGCGCGGCTGGAGAGAAGAAGACAAGAGAGCGAGAGAGGAAAAGAGACCTTGACACAGAGAGAAAGAGAGAGACCGAATTAGTTGTTGTCTGCGTTAGCGATATGGAGACGTTTGCAAGGGTTGGTTTGGGACTACCTGCGGCACATGCATAATTGCTGATTAGTTCCTCGTCGCAACAGAGACAAGAACGCTTGACGACGAACGCAAAAGAGGGGCATTTGCAGCTGTCGCAGGCCAATGAACAACTTGCGGAGGTATGGCCATTCCACGCCATCCAACCAAAGTACGGATTTCCAACTCGGCGACATCTCCGCCCCAGCTCGCTGCTGCTCGATCGCTCGTCCCAACACACACCCATTGTCATCGCAGGGCCCCCTCCTCCTCCTCCTACTCGACCCCTTGCTTGCCATACCTTCAGCTTACTACACCCACTCTGTCGCGCCCAGTTGTTGTAACTTGTCACCTCACCTCCGTAAGTGTGTGCCTTTCAACGCTCGACTCCGCCAGACGGTTGAACTAAACAAAGGCTTTTTCGCAGATCCCGTCTCGCCAGGAATCGTAATCATGCAACGAAACCCAGCGGTCTACGGATAACCCCCGACGTGTCTCTGAGAAGGGAGTCTGGGCGGCATACCGGATCATGGACCGGGTAGCTGTTCGACCACCTTCTCGTCGCTATTCCCGTCCTGGCAAGGCGAGAGCCACCACCAACGCGATGGTAGTAGTGGTGGTGGTGCCCGTACGTCCCCGTCTGCCATGTTGCAGCTGTAATCCATAGTTTAGTCGGCTTAGCGGCCGTGGGATGGGATTTTTTTCCTTCTGTTCCCTTCTTCCAAGGATCTCAAAGTCAGATCATTCCAGATGGTGACGGGAACTATGTTCCAGGGCTGGGAGTGGGAGGATGCCGGGAGGTCTCTTTGGGGGTCACGGGCGAGGCAGACAAGTGGTGGACGAGGCTCTTGAGTGGGAATTGCGAATGTCGAATGCCCCCATGGACGTTGTCGACGGGACTGCGGGCGTGTGATTCGGGATGGTCGATGGCCGATGGGTCGAACACCGGTTCGTGTCGAGTCTCTCTTGTGTGTTGGGGGTATGTCTGATCCGTTTCTTGACGTTCCGTCTCGATATCTTGTCGCGACGTCGCTGATCTTTCCTCTATATAAGGGCCGGCTCCCGTTACCTGAGATGGGATTCTCTTGAGATATCCAAGCCACTCTCTCAGGCATATCAACGAGATCATCTTTTCCGCAATGGCCGTGAAGTCCAGACTACCCATTTTCATCGTCGGCGCCGGCGTCTTCGGTGCCGCGGGTGCCCTGACGGCCATCATCAAGCATCCGGACTCTGAAGTCGTCCTCATCGACCCGAGTCACCTCCCGCACCCGCGCTCGGCGTCCTACGACGTGTCCAAGATCATCAGGGATGACTACGGCCAGACGCTTCACATCCACATGGCCAGGAGCGCCATGAACGTGTGGCTCGATGCCGACTCGCTCTACAGCAAGTTCTTCCACAGGGTCGGTATGTTGCGCTGTCAGCCCGACGACTTCAACGAGAAGAGCCTCGCCGCCTACAAGAAGGCCGGCATCCCCACCAAGTCCAGGTGGGTGGACGTTGCGGAAGTGTCGCCCGTCCTGGCCGGTGCCGACTTTGGCGGCATGGACAAGGTCATGTATAACCCGGACTACGGCTACGTGGATGCCGAGGCCTGTCTCGCGGCCGTCCGCCAGGAAGCCGTCGACCGCGGCGTCAAGCTCCTGGTGGGCGAGGTGACCAGCCTGACCTTTGATGACGCGGGAGACTGCACCGGCGTGAGACTCCAGACCGAGGGGGCATCGCAGGAGCTCAGGGGCAAGGTTCTGCTTTGCACCGGTGCTCGTACGGCCGCTCTGCTCAGAGACAGCGCCCCTGAGAGGACGGAGCTGCATGCCGGCAACAGGCTCAAGGCCACCGGTGCCATGAGCTTCACCGTCCGCATCGACGGAGAGCTCAAGGAGCGTTTCGACGCCGGCCCCGTCCCCGTCTTCAAGAACCGCGTGGAGGAAGTCATGGGTAAGTACACGATCCGCCGCCACCGTGTCAAAGCTGACTTGCCCAGGGGAGCTGGTCTCCTACAAGAACGGCCTTCTCAAGTTCAACCGCGACGGATGCTGGACGCTCAACAAGGACGAGCCCTGGGTCGCGCCCAACGAGCCGGGGTTGACTGAATGGGTCACCGACCCCAAGGCCATCCCGGACAGCATCAAGCAGCTCGCACGCCAGACCATCGTCGGCTTGTGCGGGAAAGACCTGGCGGACTGCGAGATCGAGGAGTACCGCTTCTGCTGGTGAGTGTGCCGCCGCTGCCGTCTCGAGCTTCACTAACACGCCCCAGGGACGCGTACACCCCGAACCACGACTTCATCATCTCCAAGCACCCGCACTCCCAGAACCTGTACGTCGCCACCGGCGGTACCTTCCACGGCTGGAAGTTCCTGCCCGTCCTCGGTGACTACATCGTCAAGATGCTGGACAACGAGCTCGAGCCCAAGTACCGACAGCTCTGGGACTGGGACCGGGTTCACGATGAGGACGCTAACACGACCTACCCCATCCTGGGTGCTCTGAGCGAGCAGTAGGCGGATTTACATGCATTGCTGGGTTGGATTGGGGGCTGGAGGGGACTGGTTGCATACCTGGCGTTATTAGACGAGACTCAAAGGGTATCATGAGCATTTTCATTATGGGGGCACATCTTATGTTCGTTATGAGACAACACAATATCGTACACACTCTCGCCGGTATCAAAGTGGTGTTTTGCTTTTTTGCTCACTGATGCTCTAATAACCAAGTATCCAATTGCGCCGAAAACGAGCGCAGACAGTATATGACGAAAATTCCCAAGCGCCTTTTGCCGACCCTACACGGGGTATCTCGCTTGACCCGGCTTCTTCCACTTCGCTCACTGCATCACTCACTTCCCCCACGCCCCTCACGACGACCCGTTGACCTCCAACTTGCCCTGCGTCTTCTCCAGGTACGTCACCAGGTCCGCGATGGTGCACACCTTGAGCCCGAACCGCCGCGCGAAGTCGATGCACTGCTCGCCCCTCATCATGCCCGGGTTCTCGTGGATGGCCCGGCCCTCGACGACGTCGCCGTCGTCGACCAGCTCGCAGATGGCCGCGGCCTCCTTCTTGCCGGCGAGGCGACAGAAGTCGACGGCGGCCTCGGTGTGGCCCCTCCGCTCGCGGACGCCGCCCTGGCGGGCGCGCAGGGGGAGGACGTGGCCGGGGCGGCGCAGGTCGGCGGGCTTCGCGGCGGGGTCGGCGAGGACCCTGCAGGTGAGGGCGCGGTCGTGGGCGGAGATGCCGGTGGTGACGGCGGGGTCGGCGGCGTCGACGGAGACGGCGTAGGCGGTGCCGCGGGGGTCCTCGTTGGAGGTGACCATCTGGGGGAGGTCGAGGCGGTCGAGGAGGGCGGGGGCGAGGGGCGCGCAGACGTAGCCGGAGGAGTGGCGGATCATGAAGCCCATCTGGGCGGCGGAGAGGGACTCGGCGGCGATGATGAGGTCTGCTTCGTTCTCGCGCGAGGGGTCGTCGAGGACCACGAGGAACTCGCCATTGCCTGTGTGTGTCGGAGGGGTTAGCGGGGTTCTACGCGGGGTGGGACCGGATTGCGCGGGACGGCGTACGGAAGGCCTCAATTGCGTCCGGGATGGAGTCGAACTTGGACTCGTCTATTGTTGAGGAGGGCATCGCGGCGGTTTGGGTGTGTGTGGTTTGCGGTTTGCAGTGTGCGATGGGAAAGTCGTGATGTCTGGCGACGGTGGGCGTGGAGGGGGAGGGGCTGAAAGCGGTCTTTACGGGAAAGTTGGGTTTGCCAAGGGTCCGTTTTCTTCACTGCGCTAGGGATTCCGTCATGCGAGAGAGGGGGCAACAACCGGCGGATAGGGAATTGCACCCTGATAATGATAAAGAATGCGGTTCGGCGGGTCGAGGTCAATCAATTCGTCTTTTTTATCACAACGTGTTCTGATTGACAATACCCGCGATGCGCCGGTCCCAAAGTTATTAATCTTTTTGGACCCGAGGTCGTGGATTGGCCCAGTTGACTCATGATGCGCGGGCCTAGATCTGTCATCCATGTGCCACCCCCCGAACACGCCGAGGATTTCGGCCTGCCGCGGGCTTCTGAGTCGGCGGTCGGTGATTTCTGGCGCTGACAGCTGCCACGGTGCGAAACCGATAGCGGGATTACGTAAGGGTCGAGGTCCATTACTGTCACTGACAAACCTTTGTGGAAGCACCCGCGCGGCTCCGTCCTGGTTATCGGGCCTCTTTTTTGTGAATTATTTTCAGCGGCTGCTGCGCCGGGTCTTTTATCAGGATTAAGGGCCCATCCGTCTCCGATTGACGCCTTCGAGCTCTGAGTGAAGTCGACGGAATTTCCGTGCCTGCATCTGCAGACAGGGGGCCGTCGGTAACAGCACCGAGGACAAGGTTGCTTTCCCCAGCGGACCTACCATCCCTGCTTTGTCATCATTTCCTTCTCCCACTCAGGAATTCTCTTTGCGAGCTCACCACCACATCCTCAGCATCGCCAATGGCATCGTCACGCCCAGCAGCCACGCTGCTGCGTTCCCTCAGACGGGCGGGACCGTTCGCGCAAGCCCCCCGCGCGGCTACGACGTCACGCCGCGCCCACTCGACCTTCTCCTCCGTCTCCCCCGACGAGGTCGAGCACTTCAACGCCCTCGCCGCCGACTGGTGGGATCCGCACGGCTCGTCGCGGCTGCTGCACCTGATGAACCCGCTCCGCCACACCTTCATCCGCGACTGCCTCAACAGCCAGTACGACCCGCCGTCGACCCCGACCCGGTTCCTCGACGTCGGCTGCGGCGGCGGCATCTTCGCCGAGAGCGCCGCCCGCCTCCCCGACACCGCCGCCGTCACCGCCATCGACCCCACGCCCGGCGTCCTCGCCATCGCCAAGGCTCACGCCCGGAGGGACCCCGCGCTGAGGGGCAAGCTGGAGTACAAGTCGGCCACGATCGAGACGCTCCCCGTGCCGCAGCAGCCGCAGCAGCTGTACGACGTCGTCTCCGTCTTCGAGGTCGTCGAGCACGTCTCCTCGCCCGAGGAGTTCCTGGACCGCTGCCTGCCGTTCGTCCGGCCCGGCGGCTGGCTCGTCGGCAGCACCATCGCGCGGACGTGGACGAGCTGGGTCACGACGAACCTGGTGGCCGAGGACATCCTGGGCATCGTGCCCAAGGGCACGCACGACTGGCGCAAGTACATCAACGATCACGAGCTGAAGGGCATGTTCATGGGCAAGGGCTGGGAGATGCCGCGCGTGCTGGGCGTCGTCTACATGCCCGGGCTCGGGTGGAAGGAGGTCAAGGGGAGCGAGAAGGTCGGCAATTACTTCTTTGGCGTCAGGAGGGTGGCGTGATGTCGGTAGACGAGGTCTTGTAATATACTGTACACTATTGGTGATACCCCATTAGAGCAGCGGCGGAACACGGGGTGCGCAGAGATTTTGACGGTATTCTGTGACGTTGACCTTACTGTGGTCGAATCCACTGATGACTTGTCCAGTCAGCGAGCCGAGTTCCGATTGCTAATGCGCCGCCTTTCGTGGTTCGATGTCGGTGGTATCAGAAATGATCAGACGAGGCATTGCCACAGGAATCCGGACAGACTCTGTGGAGCAATGCGTCCGGGTCTTGATCATGTCTTGAACATCCCGTAATACACATCAACAACCTCAACAAGATAACAAACAAAGTAAACGACTTTTAGAGTATGTGTATCTCGAACGCCTCTACTGATATCGGTAGTCGTCGTCCAATCAAGCCCAGTCGAAATCAAATAAGCTCCCGCTTATCTGCCATCAAGACAGACGTCCCTCAAGTCCCTTTCTCCTAGGAGCACTCGAACCTCAGAAGCCTCCCCACGTTCCACCCCTCGGTTTCAGTGGACAGAGACGCCTTTCTCCGCGGGCGCAACCAGAGCCGCCCGCTGCGGGCCGCGGTCCTGCGCCCCTGATTGGCCGGACGTGGCCTTATCATCCGATGGTGCTGTGCCTTATCACCCGCGATCAACCTAGGTAGAACGACCGTACAATTCCCAACTTGTAATACCGTGCCACCTTGACAATGCCATGCAGCAAGTCGCCCATGGCCCGGGCCACCAAACTCTGATGCTCAACCGTCGGAAATGCGTCGTTCAGATTGCTTCGCGGTGCGACGGCGTTGGACCAATCAGGGCGCGCGGCCCCTGGGACGTCATGGACCAACTCCCCGGAGATGCTGATCCCAGCGGATCGTGCTCGAGCTGGCGACTGAGTTCATTGTGCGCCGAGCAGAGTGATGCGTCTTTTAAGTACTCTTATCTACGTAGGAAGTCCAGCGTTTTCTGTTTCCTGGTACTTTTGATCTTCTCTGTCTTTGATTTTGTTGGCGTCTCAGTATCGTTTGGCATCGCACGATGGCAGAGCGAAAGAGGCTCGTGGTCGTCGGCCTGGGGATGGTCGGCATGGCCTTCATGTGAGTGTGTTTGTGGCGATGTAAACAACTTACTGACGTTTTGCAGAGAAAAGATGCTAAAGTTGGATGCGCGGACGAATGAATACTGCATTACCATCATCGGAGACGAGCCGTACCTCGCTTACAACCGCGTGGGCCTGACGAGCTTCTTCGAACACCGCAAGATCGAAAACCTCTACCTCAACCCCGAAGAATGGGTATGAAAACTCATAGCCGCTCTCAAAGCATGCGCTGACCGTCCGCAGTATCGCAACGCCCCTGAGGGCTCTCTGGGATACCATATCAACACCAAAGTCACAGACATCGACTCTCAAGCCAAGACAATAGCCTGCTCCAATGGCGAGATCGTTCCATACGACACCTTGGTTCTCGCCACCGGTTCAGACGCCGTTCTCCCCAGACACATCCCTGGGCACGACGCAACGGGCGTCTTTGTCTACCGCACAATAGACGACCTCAACAAACTGATTGCCTTTGCCGACACCAGGAAAGGCACCAACGGAGTCGTTGTGGGTGGTGGACTCCTGGGCCTGGAAGCCGCCAAGGCCATGGTCGACCTCGAGCGCTTCAACCAAGTGAAGATCATCGAGAGGAATCGCTGGGTTCTGAGTCGACAGGTCGACCAAGATGCGGGCGCCATGGTCGTCAGCCAAGTGCGCGACCTCGGCCTCGACATCCTTCTGAGCAGGCGGGTGGGCGAGATCGAGACGACCGAGGACAACCAAGTCAAGGGCGTTCTGTTCGAGGACGGCGAGCGTCTCGATTGCTCCGCCGTCTGCTTCGCCATTGGTGTGCGGCCGAGAGACGAGCTCGCGCGGAAAGCCGGTATTAAGTGCGCTGACCGCGGCGGCGGCATCATCGTCAACGACGACCTGAGCACCAGCTGTGCAGACATCTACGCTATCGGAGAGTGCGCCAGCTGGAAGGGCATGGCGTACGGTCTGATCGGTCCCGGTGTCGAGATGGCCGACGTCCTCTCCTTCAACCTCACACAAGCCAAGCTGCACGCGCCGAGGGCATTCAAGAGGCCAGACCTCAGCACCAAGCTCAAGCTCCTCGGCGTCGACGTGGCCAGTTTCGGCGACTACTTTGCCGATACCGACGGGCCAAAGTTTCTGCCTCCGAAAGTGGCGCGGAAGACGAAGAAGGACGAACAGAGCACCATCGAGACGTTGACCAACGGCCTGCCACCAGCCCCGGTCAAGGCTCTCACGTACCGCGACCCGTTTCAGAACATCTACAAGAAGTACATCTTCACTGAAGACGGCAAGTACCTGCTCGGTGGCATCATGATCGGCGACACAAAAGACTACATCAAGCTCGTACCGCTCGTCAAGAACATGAAGGAGCTGGAGGTGCCTCCGAGCGAGCTCATCCTGGGCGCTAAGAAGGATGGCGAAGACGACGGCGACGACCTGACGGACGACACCCAGATCTGCTCATGCCACAACGTCACAAAAGGAGACGTCGTCAACTCGGTCAAAGAAGGCACCTGCAAGACGATCGGCGAGGTCAAGGCCTGCACCAAGGCCGGAACCGGCTGCGGCGGCTGCATGCCCCTGGTCACGACAATCTTCAACAAGACGATGCTCTCCATGGGCAACGAGGTGAAGAACCACCTCTGTGCCCACTTCAACTACTCCCGCGCCGACCTCTACAACATTATCCTCGTCAAGCAGCTCAAGACGTTCGAGGACGTCATGCGCGAGGCCGGCAACGATCCTGCTTCGCTCGGCTGCGAGGTCTGCAAGCCCACGTGCGGCAGCATCTTTTCGTCACTATGGAACCGCCACGTCATGGACACTCCGATGCACGGCCTGCAGGAGACCAACGACCGCTTCCTCGGCAACATCCAACGCAACGGCACCTACAGTATCGTCCCTCGTGTGTCCGCAGGCGAAATCACCCCAGACAAGCTCATTGTCATCGGCCAGGTCGCGAGCAAATACAACCTGTACACCAAGATCACCGGCGGACAGCGCATCGACATGTTCGGCGCCAAGAAACAGGATCTCCTGGATATTTGGAAGACGCTGGTCCAGGCCGGTATGGAGTCTGGTCATGCGTACGCCAAGTCTCTCAGAACCGTCAAGAGCTGCGTGGGTACCACCTGGTGCCGTTTCGGTATCGGTGACAGTGTCGGCATGGCTGTCCGTCTGGAGGAGCGGTACAAGAGTATTCGCGCGCCGCACAAGATCAAGGGCGGTGTCAGCGGCTGCGTCCGCGAGTGTGCCGAAGCCCAAAATAAGGAGTAAGCCTGTCGTCTGCAATGAACGGGTGAACGCCGCTAACGTCACAGCTTCGGTCTCATCGCCACCGAAAAGGGTTTCAACATCTTCGTCGCCGGCAACGGTGGCGCCAAGCCCAAGCACTCCGAACTTCTCGCCAAGGACGTTCCTCCATCGGAGGTTATCCCCATCATCGACAGATACCTCATGTTCTACATCCGCACCGCCGACAAGCTCCAACGCACGGCGCGCTGGCTGGAGAACCTCCCCGGCGGCATCAAGTACCTCCAGGAGGTCGTCCTCGAGGACAAGCTCGGCATCTGCGCGTCGCTCGAGGCGCAGATGCAGGAGCTCGTCGACAGCTTCTTCGACGAGTGGGCCGAGGCCATTAAGAACCCCAAAATCGCCGCCAAGTTCAAACAGTTCAACAACACCGAGGAGACGGTCGAGAACATGGAGGTCGAGCTCGACCGCGACCAACCCCGGCCCGTCTTCTGGGCCAAGGAGTCGGCCAAGGACGACTTCAAGGGCCTCATCAACAAGTGGACCAGCATGGCGTGGCAGCCGATGCTCCCAGCGAGCCACTTCTTCGGCGCCGACGAGACCCCCAACGGCATCTCGGCGACGGTAAAGCGCGGCGACACCCAGCTCGCCATCTGGCGCATCCGCGGGCGCTACTACGCCACGCAGCAGATGTGCCCGCACAAGCGCCAGTTCGTCCTCTCCGACGGCCTCATCGGCGAGGAGCTCGGCACCGACACGTGCGACGACGCCAAGAAGCCCGACTCCGGGTGCAGCACCAACGGCGACGCGAAGCGGTCCGCCCCCTGGGTGTCGTGCCCGTACCACAAGCGCAACTTCGACCTGGCCAACGGCAGCTGCAAGAACGACGAGGAGGTCAGCATCGCCACGTTCCCCGTGGAGGAGCGCCCGGACGGCATGATCTACCTGAAGCTGCCGCCGGTGGAGGAGCTCGATGCCGCGCTGGGCACGGCCAAGTGGATGGTCAAGAAGGGCGAGGCCGGGGGCAGCCAGTTCGAGCAGCTGGACAAGAAGATCAACTTCAAGGGACACCGCGCGAAGAAGCCCGGCGTGAGGCCGCTGGCGCCGCTGAAGATGGAGAAGCCGGCGCAGCTGCTCGTTGGCGGCGGCGGGTGCGGGAGCGCGCCGGATTGGTAATTGGCGGGCGGCATTGGCGTTTGTAGGTAGGTATGCATAGATGGATACATGGGTAGGGAAAATCAAGCGTTGCGAATTGATAGAGTATGGGCTGTGTTTGGTGAATGTGTCTTGTTTGACTTGTCTCGGTTCTCGCTGTCGTCCTTGTTGACCTTGTCGTCGTTGTCGTCGTCCTCATTGTCGTTCTCATCATTGTCGTTGTCGTCGTCGTCCTACTCCTCGTAGTATTTCGCTTCGTATTCGGCTTTATGTTCTGTCAACCCATAAGGCACGTTCAACGGGGAGAGGCGTCCAAACTATGACGTTTCCTAGGGATCGAGGTCGGCAAGCACCCATAGCCTAAGAAAACTTTCTTCTTTTTCCATATTATACTGCACGTGGCTTTGCTGCTGATGTTGGCAAACCTACACGTGTAAAGGTCAATAATTGCAATTCGCCGCCGACACAACGCAGCAACCCTTGTTATCTGACTCAAAAGCTCGCCATATCTGGTGAGTAGACATTTTTTTCCATTTTATATTACTAAAACATTCCCCTGGAAGCTTCTAGGCTGCTATATCTAACCTCTATGGCAGAAGTCCAACTTCTCAAGGTGATGGCAAAAGCTTTGGGGGCGAGAAAAGAACCTTGAGGAGACATGCCAGACTGTCTACTTAAGGAGGCCAGCTCTTCTCACTTGAACTCTCCCGGTCTTTCGTTTCCGCAGACAACAACTTCTTCTATTTATTTTTATTTATTTTTTTAATTTGTTTCTTTATTCACTCACTTCCTATCAATAACAGAAGAACGAAATGGAAAACCGACACCCTCTACAAGACGCAATGAACCAAAAGACTGTGGCAGCAGACAGCGCTGGTGCGGAGGCTGCGCAAGATGATGATGATTCATCACTACGCACTCAAGTCTCCGACACAGTCACGAAGACCGGCGATGGGAATTCCTCGCCCAAGGACATGGCCTTGCAAGAAGCTCGGAACGCCTCTGTTGAGGAGCTTGACGGACTCACAGCGGCCAAGTGGAAGTTTGTGTACCAATACGTACATGAACTGAAGAAAAGGGGCGCGTTTACCAACTTGGCGACGCTTTGCTTGATGCACAAACTCTTTAGTACGCAAATGACTACCCTTTCCCCAAAAGATCCTTCATGGCTAACACACATGTCAGACGAAGCCTTCATCAGCAACAAGCACATGCCGTACGTGGATATGGCCCTGGCCTCCAAGTCTCCTCTGAACCCGGTCTATCCGAACCCGGGCTACGTCAAGTATCTCGAGATGAGTCCGCTCCCGGCAGCAACGGCCGCACCGCCCGCGGCTACTGTCCAAGCAAACGAGACGCGTTCGACGCCGATCTCCGCGGCCGCTGGGAAGAACGGGCCAACACCCACATCATCTCCAGGTACTGCAGGGAAGACTGATTGTGAGGCACAGAAACAAAAGAAGCTATTGATCGACAAGACCCGAACGATTCTGAGAGAACACACTCTTCCAGGGGCACGCGAGGCGCACATCCAGGACCTCTACGATTACGCACCGACCCTTCTGAAGTGCAACATGCTCTCCCTGACCAAGGAGAGAATGAGGAACATCATCAGGCATCAGTGGGCCGAGCACACTGCCGAAGAGCAGAGATTCAAGAGCCGGGTGGCTGCAGACGACTGGGCCGGGAGACAGAAGCACAGGGAGGGGATGGGTGTGTCGCTCAAGCGGCCGGCGTCGCCGGGAAATTGTGCCGATAGGCCGATGAAGCAACAGTGCCGAGGCCCCAAGGCCTAGGTATCTGGATGGCCTGGAGGGGTTTGAATTGAGAATCGGGAGACTCAAGGCTAGGCAGTCTATGTCGTGAAAGTAGAAGTGTTGAATGGCGAGTGCTCGGTTTTAGACCGCGCGAGTTGCTATGAAGTCAATGCCGGACAACCTAGGTAAGTCTACATCAATTTTTTACATCTACGTGTGAGTTTGACAGCGAAACAACTGTGATCTTGAATATAAAATCGTTCCTCGTAGCGTCTTGGGGGTCAGTTGCAAAAGGCGGGTGACGTTGCACAGAGTCCTAGACCCGCATCCACCGGCGAGTGATCTAATCCAAATTGAGCTAGTGCATTCTAGAAACTGCCCTTTCTGTCCGAATGAGGCAGGTAGGGAATGCACCCGACTGGATGAGCACCGACCACCTGCTGCTGCTTTAACAGCTTGAATGACATCGTCGCGAGAAATGCCACATCAGGGTTCGCTGTTGCCTTGTGATAGGATATTGATCGTTCATGGCTGTTTAAGAATGATCATGATTTGCTGGCGAGAGTAAGTTGCATGCTCCGGGGGTCTCGACGACGCTTACCCCGAAGTTTGGCACCCGCCATTGATTTCATTCCCAAATTGACTCGCTTTGACAGTTGCATATTCTGGCTTACATGGATCTGATTGATTCTCTACGTACTTCCAGTCTTCGTGATATACACAGTACCTGCGCGGCTTCCTCCGAAATCCGAAGCACTTGTCAGCCTTAATTAGTAGAGGTCGGAATGAATGCCTCTTCTTCGCCACTTGAACACCAAATGTCGCGAGTCCTTTCCGGATCATTCGTTACCTCATCCCATTGCCGGCAGACCATTCTCTTGTATGCCTCGGCCGTCAGCGACCCTCAGTGTTCCATCTTCTTCTTCTTGCTGACACGCCCTTCGGCGAAGCAGTCCGACTCTGTTGTTCTCTGTCTCTTCTGACCCGACCTGATTCCGTCCAGTAGGCATCTCGTCATGTGCTCTCGGCGTTGTTCGCGGAGGTAATCGGGGAGAGAGACGGGATTTGACATCGTCTCAAGATAGAGGCTGTAGCTAGAGAGGCGACTCCAAAGTATCGTGAGGGGCTCAAGGAGCAGTTCCGGTTGGTTCTGAGATACGAAGGGAATGAAGAAGGACTCGGTGTCTCGTGAGGCCCAGGCGACGCCCAAGCCCATGCCCGCTTGTTGCTGAACTTCTTTCATCACGCTTCGGTAGCAGCGATCGTGGTCGATGTCTCGAGGGATACGGACTTCAAATTTTCGAAAGTCCGAGCCCAGTATGCTGGGGTCCAGCCGGGAGACCCAGCCTTCGATCTCGTTCTGAACGAGCTGCGATAGATGTGCTCCATGGCGTTTGGCATTGCCAAATACCTCTTCAGCCGAGGCAAGAGGTACGACGTTGCGGTGATGAGACGAAGACGGTATGGTCGGGACGGGGTTTGTGGACTTTCGGTATGTCTTGGCCTCTGCAATGGTTGGATCTTGAAGAGACGAGCCGATCACAGGTGTGGAGAGGTGGTTGACCGACTGCTCAGCCAGAGCAAGCCACTTGCTCTTCGAATCGATGGCAGCGGGCGGAGGAGAAGGACACTTAGGCGAGTCCCAACAAAATTCTTTCAAGTCGAGAATCTCGTTGGAGTGTAATTTGAAGAACTCAGGCCTGTTCGTCTCCAGCCACTCCGCATAGCCATGATCAGCCACCATGCCCAGGCGTAAGGCTTTGACGCGAATGGGACCAAGATTGTTCTGCAACCACTCCTCTGGCGTCAGCTTGACTGATTATTGAGTTAGCATGAATAATCGATGATGAGAGCAGTCCTGTTCTGTTACTCACAATCGTTGAGCCAGATGGACACCATCGCGGACAACAGCGAGGACTCGATGCTGACTCTCATTTGTCCCATATCGAACATCATTTGATAGCCGATCGGAAGGTGTCTTTCAAGAGTGTCTCTGATCCATCTGATGTCGAGAATCTTGCCGTTCTTGGCTTGGATGAACTTCATGACTTCGGTCAGCACATCGTCATCGCTCTGATGGTTTCCATCGTGAGAAGGGCGCCAGTCGATCGCGTAGCTTTTGGACCACGGGCCGATGGCGGCACCGCCGATGAATTCCATGGCTTTTGTGAAATTCGCTGTGTGTGAGGGAGGCGGAAGATTTTGCGAATGTGTCGAGGTAGAATACTGAAGAGGAGGCGATTCTTTGTTCGAAGCAAGTTGTGCGGAAGGAGCTCCAATGTGGGTCCCGGCCGCTTGACCTTCAGGTTGGCAGTTCCTTCCTTCCTCGATGCTAAGGTGACCACTGACTTTCCCGCGCTTTGCAATCAATCTGCCCAGCAGCCTGAGGTGTCCAGGGAAGTCGAGTTCCTTCCTCCACTGACTATCTTCAGTTCTGGGTTCGTCTGAAAATCTTTCTCTTTCCCTCTTTCCCATCTTCAACACCACTACCACCAGACAACAAGGATGAACGAAGACTATGAGTTTCGTCGCCGCTTCGGCTCAAATGCGCCGAGAATGAATAGTTCCAAACATGGATATGATTGCTCAACTGAGCGAAGCTATGTGAGATCGCACTCAAATGAGTCCAGAGCTAACAGTTATCGCCAAGGAAATGGCCGCTCGATTGAGCAGGGCTACGCCGGATCGCGCTCCGTCGCGTCGATAACGAGCCAGTCAAACGACGGAAATGGCTTCACCAACGAGCAGAGCCACTCCAGGTCACGCTCCAACGCGCCCAGAGTCAGTCACTCTTACAACGGACATGGCCGCTCAAACGAACAGAGCCACGTCGATGAGCGCTCAAACGAGCCCATAAAGCGCGGCAACGGACATCAGCCAAACGAGCAGATGCCTCATGGTACGCCTCAAGCGACGGTCTCTTCTGTCGAGACCACACTTCAAAACTTCAACATGGAACAGCGTGTGGCCGACTACTTCGGTGAAAGACATCGTGTGAAGGCGGATTTCCTGCGATCGTTGGATACAATGTCGAGCTATCCGTTTATCAGACTCAGGGTGGAATTTCTCCATCACCACCAAGTCCCCGATGATTGCCCCCCAAACAATTCGTCGACTGGCCTCGGGACTCAGTCTCATGCACGAGATGGTTGTGGAAGCCAGACGGCAGGCCAGACTTTGAGCGCGAGCGAAACGGAGAGACGTGAGAGCCCGCTCAGATTGGAAAGATACGACGACGACGGGAGTCAGTGGTCTGATTCGGGTTCCGAACGCAGAGCCGACACGAGGCCCAGGTCGCAGAGTCCCGGCACGCTGCCCGCTGCGCCGCCTCGACCTTCAGCACAGTCATCGCGGCCCACGTACAATTCACGCCCAACTGGAAAACACGGAAGGAGGTCCGACAGATGGCGATGGGAAAGTCGAGACAAGCCCCCTTACAATCAGAAGGTGTACATGACTCCGCAACGGCGGAAGAGCTTCGAGACGAAGGGCGACGAGGCATTCCACTCCAGGTTCCATCCGCGGAATGTCTGTGGTCAATGTGGCCACAGAGGACACTTATTGTGCGACTGCGCAATGCCCGACGACGACGGATGGATCATGGGATGTCCGTATTGCAACACAAAACTTCACTTTTGGGACTCGTGCTCCCGCAAGTCTCGGCTGACGAAAGCCCAGAGACACGAGCTCGAGTACAAGCGTCGATGGAGGAAGCCCCCTCTTCGGTCCAACATCCCCTTGGTTCAGAGGTTGGTGGAGTACGGTGAGCAAATGCTGCCTGTCAACGGATGCAGACCCATTGTCTGGAGTAAAGCGTTCACCCGAAAGCTTCTCGACCTTCCGCAGGCCAACTGGCCGTGGCGCCAACACATCTACAAAGATGGCGACTGGGTTCATCTTCCGCCGGATTACCGACTGGATGCAATGTCCACAGTAGAAATACTGGAGGACGAGGAGCTTTGGCAAGAAGTCAGCCAGCCCAGCAATGAGAGCAGACGAGTCACGTATCGGCGAACAAAGGAAATTGACGAAAAGCTCGCGCAGGCAACTCGGACGAGCAGATAGCATGACGAACTCGACGACTATGTGCCTCCAGACGGCGATGCTCAAATGAGCGAGGCTGCCCCTGATTCGAAAGGCGCAGTCCAGGGCGAGCATGACGACGTTGACGCTTGGGACGATTTGGGGAGGGAATAGTGTTGGGTTTCAACTGACGCCCTAGGGAGTAGATGGCTGGGTTTCGACTGAAACCCTTGGGATTAGACAGTTGAATGATCAAGTTTTGTTTTGTTTTGTGAAATGCAGCATCGTGAAGTCTTGTTTTGTGAAACGGAGCTTCGTGAAGCGGTTGAGACCCGACCGTGCCGCTCGATTTCCACTTCGCCTTTTCGCCTTGTCCCCAACAACGATACGCCTCACCCCGTTGACGATGACGCATTCGACCCATAGACAATAATACACAGACCTGCTCCGGGGTAACTCGACCAACCCTTCCAAGTCCGAACTCGCGACTTGGTGCAAGCAGTAGCTCGTATCCAGCTTTCCACACTTGCCATCCTGTCATAGTTGTCATCGAAGAGCACACCTGCGCCGGTTTCGTTCATGATCATTTTGTAATTATCTTCTTTGTGCTTCATCTGGTGGCGCGTAAAGTTGGGATTGTAATTCTGTCGTTCGTCTTGTGTCTTGTTTGGTTGACTGCATGGTATGGATTGTGGCCAACCTCGTTCGTTCCATCAGTTGTCCGAGTTTCCCTTGTAGTGCTCTTGGGATCTCAAAGTCGGTATACACTCGTTCCACGCATCGGTAATCTTCGGATGCCCGTCCATGGCCACATGAGCTTGATTATCTGGTCTACCCACAGCCTTAGCGAATTACATATTTCCTGCGTAGCTTCTCTCAATTCCCAACCGTTTTCTACACCGTCGTTTTCCCGAACCTTCTTCAGCTACCCTGAAAAACCTTCACGACCAAGCATACCGTTGAGGCCTATCAGTGGTGATTCTTGGCTTTCTTCGTAATGGGCTCGTCGGACTGGGTCGGCTCGAGCTCCGCAATCGTGCGCTTCTGAACCAACTCCCGACGCTCCACCTCGGGATCCTTCTTGGGGGGCGCTCTGGACAGCATTGCAGCCCGCACTGCCATGCAGTTGTCGCCTGAGGCATTGAACATGATGGCTACCAAATCATGCTGCTCCTTGTTCAGGAAGGCGAAAAGGGACATGGGATGCTCGGCGGTTGTCAGGTATCGGGCATAGTAGCTGAGGTTGTTCCACAACTCGATGTAGCACCGTATGAGAGCGTGCGAGTAGTCGGCCTCCATGTGTGGGACGAGAAAGACGTCTTCCCCTCTCTGAAACCAAACAACGCGCAGACCCGGGATGAGCAAACTGTGCGCCTGGCTAATGACACTTCGGTAACAGCGTTCATGATCGATGCCCCGCGGAAGCAAGACCTCGAACTTCTCGTGCTCTGGGCCCAGCTTGCTGTAGTCGGGCGAATCAGACTTGGTGCACAGTTTTCGTAGATTTCGGTACCATCGTGCCCGCGTTTCGCTGGATTTGAGAGCCGCTTCCTCCTCTGGGATGTGAGGCTTGCTGACGTGCTGAGCGACACTGACGGCGGCCTTCTAGCCCGCCGCACTCGCATTGTCGGACTGATGGCCCTGCAGAGGCGTGCTCACGGCTGGCGGCGGCTGCGCGCTTGCGGGAGTATCCTTCTTCATAGGCAGGAGGGCGGGTGCCGGGGCGGGAGTTCGGGCCGGTGTAACAGCAGGAGTCGGAGCGGGAGCCAAGGCACGAGTCGGAGCCGGGACGCGAACGGGAACTCGGGTGGACACTGGCTTCTTGCCGAGGATCGCATTCTTATTCTTGTTGAAGAACTCGGGCTCGTTCTTCTCCAGCCACTCGGTATAACCGTCGTCGACGACGATACCAGGTCGACCATCCAGCGTCGAAATGCCACCGAATTCATTCTCGTTCCACTGCTCTGGGGTGAATTTCACTAGTTGAATACGTTAGCACGAGCAAAAATTTCGATCTCGACTGGTCACTCACGGTGACGGGTCCAGATGAGCCTCATGACGCAGTAGAGAGTGAAGTCCATGCTGACCCTCTTGTATCCTTTCTTGAAGCAGAAGCTGTATGCGCGCATGGCGCACTGCTCCATCACAGTTCCCAAATTCTTCCAGGCGAAGACATCGTCTGCTTGGGCGCGCATGACTCGGATGACGTGGTTAATGACGATGCCGTCATCCTCGTAGACCCAATCGGCCGGGAGACGCCAGTCGACCACGCGATTCTTGACCGTGGCGGGCGGGGTTTCGCTCGCCTCCATGTTGTCAAAGTTGTTGGCGTTGACGACGGGTCTGGATGAATGCCAAGATTGAAGGGAAGAAAAATTAAATGGAGGAAAGATCTGGAACTGAGGTGAATCCTGAAGTGAGTCTTTGTTGAGCCCGAGGTGCTTTTTCAAGGTGGGTCCCGGCTGATTGAGCTTCACATTGGCAGTCCATCAGCTCGTCGATACCTTACTGGTCACGTCGCCCTTTGCAATCGAAGTTGACATTCACTGTAACACCTGGAGTGCGTCGTAAAATGGCATGGACTCGCACAGAATTGGAGGGCGTACTCATAACACAAGGTGGTTTAGTAGCGCAGTATTATTGTAAAAGATTGAGAATAATATCTTCTATTTACAATTACATTAGGGAATGCCAAGGGCGATCCGTAGTAGCTGTTGCTTGAGAACGGCGATAAGCCTATGCATGTCATTAAGAAGAAAGAATGGCTGGTTGGTATGAGATATATACTAAAGAGCAGGAAGCCTTCTAGAACGTCGATCCCAACTGTGTTACGAAAGGAGACAAGTGCGTCGTCAAATGGCATGGACTCACACAGGATTGGTTGATACATGAAACGAAATGGATACACAGAAGCGTTGGGGGGGGGGGGGGGGGGGGGGGGGGGTTTTTTTTAAAAGATAAAGTA